AGGGCAGCACTATGAATAACCAATGCTGCAGTGTTTTGTAACAATCCCGCAGAGTCCCCTTCTCAATCTCAGTCACTGACTCTCCATTCACAAGAGAGACAGACAGACAGAGGGAGGGAGATGGTAAGAGAAGATTAAAGTGGAATCTGGCAATGAAAAAAAGAAGAAGTCGTGAATGACATTTAGGAGGAAAGAAGACAACATGAAGGTAATACTCAGAAAGGAGAACAAGAGGGAGAACGTGCTCAAAATAGCAGCTGTTGGGTCAGATGGTGAGAGAATCAAACGAGTCTTAAGACATTTTAAAGAGGAATGAAACAAAAGGCAAGTATAGCAAAAGTCCATGTTTTTCAAAGTGAAAAATGTTCTCCACCTACTTATAAATTAAGATTAATTAAGCAATTCCTTTTTAAGCAAGTCTCCCTGTGGCTACATTTATCTTTAGTCACTTGCCATGATACATTCAGGACAAAGGAGACAAAGCCAAACTTGCACAAGAGGGTTCTGAGTGCAGATTACACAGAGGGTGATGAATATGGAAAATGATAAAGGCTCTTCACATACAAACAGTGGCTTCAAAGAGCTGAATATACAGCTGGTCAGGTAAAATGTAGATGGTCACCAAGTAAATTGAAGGGCCTGTAATAATGTTGAGAGGAGAAAGAAAATTGTGGATAATTTTAGGGCCAGTACACAATAAAATAATATACTCACCTTTGTTATAAAAGGACCAAATAAAATTAGCTCAAAAGCAGCTGTGGTTTAGACTGCAGCCTTACATACTTACTGTGGTACAACGGTGTAAGAAGTATTCAGATCCTTACTTAAAGTAGCAAGACCACACTATAAAAACACTCAATGTCAATGTTCAGCCTTCAACTTTTTTTGGAAATATTAAATTGTAAAACGTAAGTATCAAAGTAAATGTACTATTTTTCCATTCAGAATGGCTTCCTTTATTGTGTTGCGTTAATATGTATACATATTGTAATATTATATTATCGTTACTGATACTACACTCTCTCTCATCCCCTCTGTGTCCCAATCCCCCATACCTGCCATCCTCATGCTGTCCACCAGATGCCCTCAGACTTTGCCTCCTTTCCCCATCACCTCACTGTGAGTTACGTAACTTATTTGGTAAAGTTATGTTCCGACTTTAGATACATAACTCGCTTACTTTTTAAGTCCTGTGTTTGACCCATCCATCTACCCTGGCCTCCTCCGTACACAGATGATGTCACTCTTTATGCTACCTCACCTGACTTCCTCCTTTGCTCCAGTCATAATTACTATAGCTACTTAACAATATTCGTAAATATGAGTAATGGCAGCTTGCACAGACAACCTATACGGCCATATTTTTGAGGAGGAAAGTCTGAGTCTGCTATGACTCAGTTAGTGGGTATTTGTTTTTTCGGAATTTAAAGTGTAATTGTAAGCTGTACACTACCTGCACTAGTACCAAAGAACAGAAAAGGTTAGCATCTACAGTAGTTCATGAACATAGTGGACCATGTAGCAGTTGAACAGCAACATACAAATCTGCTGGATGTGTAAATTTGCAACTGTTTGCTAACAAGCTTGCCCTTCTAACTTAAAAGGTGATCATATGAGAGCGTTGTGTTTACAGCTTTTTTATGATGTGTGAAGCGTAAAGCAACTGACACAAGAGAATTCAGTGTGCCAACATACTTTTAGCCACAGAGACCGCTGTTCAGCAAAGGTTATATACACTCAACTCAGAATCTTGCTGTCAGGTTCAAGGTCAACAAGCAAGCCATCAAAAAATGTTGGAAATGGAGACTCTGGTGACAAACAAAATCCACATTCTCGGATATTTGAAATAATCATCAATCAATCAAAATTTGCTTCACAATCCACAGCAATGACAGGTGATAACAGACAAGAATTCACACATGAACTTTTTTGTGTAAGAGCCAAGAGGACCTCTCTAAGTGTTGCATCACTGGCGGAATTTAAAGCCCCCAGGGTCCTTGAGATGCCCTGTCTCTATTATAACAGGCTCCTAATGAGATTCCATTTATAGACTGTTCATTTATATGATGTCAATGCTCAGGTCAAAGCCAACACACACACACTGATATCTCTATATCTGAGTCTCAAAGGAGCACATTCCTAATGGATAAATGTAATTTACGAATACCTTGAGAAGTCTTGATTTCTTAATTTGTTAGTCCAGTAATTTATGATAGGGGTTCCTCTTGACCCAGATGTAGACTGTTATAGTTATATAACTGCCCTTTTATTTGAAAATAAAACTTGCCACCCTGGGATGTAATCTAGCGCTTTTGATGATAGATGAGGGCCTGCATTATTCAGTCTCATGGTGTGTCTTATCCTCATTTGTGACTATAACCCTGAAGCTACCCTCTTCTACTTGTAGGAGCTTTTCTCACCTTACCTAGATGGAGCTAACCAACTTTTTTCCCCAAAAGAAAACAAAAGGCAGATCTTTATCCTTTATCACATTTTAGGACAAACCATTCCAGTGTATCTTAGAGATCAAGGCACACAGGCAAAAAGGACAAAATTACTGAAACGAAATTTAAGCAATGTCTCCCTGATGTCTTCAGACTGGACACCCTATATGTTTTTCAGGTTTCATTACCACTTTGAACATGCTTGAGTTACTGCTAACAATGCCACGCACAGGAAACTGAACCTTAAAGGCACAGTCACCTACTATGAATGATGGGGTCCACAATAAATTTTTCTTTTTTACATTAGTCTATATTTCTTTGTGCTTTTCTCACTGACTAGAATTGGTAGATGAGTTGGATAAAGATGATATCACATATTTGCTGTGATTGCTGTGTTAATACGTACGAATGTTTTTGTTGTTGTTTTTTAGCTTTGATAATTGCTTATATAATCATGAATATTTAATCTTATAGAGAAATACAGTACTAGATTTAAAACCCATTTTTCAGGAGCTTTGGGGAAAACTTCTCATAAGCCTTTTCAAGAAAGTATAAAACACACATGGACCTTATTTTAAATTCCCATTACCTCTGGATAAGCCATGACCTGTGGATACTTACATTTACAGATTAAAGGTGGAAGAAAGCTGCTACTGTAGAATACTTCGTAACCAAGTGACTTAAATAAACTTGTTATTAGCTATAAATATGTTGAAAATAAAATGTTAATCTATGCTTTACAGATAAATGCATTTTGCCACAATATACAGCTATTTCAGTAACAACCAAGCAGAGCAAGTATATGGCTATGTCTGTGTATGTGTGTGCGTGCGTGTGTGTGTGTGATCAGCTGTCCCCACATCTTCTGTCTGTCTGGTCAGAGGTCAGACAGCCTGTCTTGTATCATCTGTCATTGGGTCAGGGCAAAGGTCCGCTTTGAGACGATGGCCGTACCACATGGTGCCAAACATACAAATTCTTCCAGACTGCCAAAAACATTCACTAACTGTATTCACATGGACTTTGAAAAATTGATGAAACCGAGTAAAGCACAATGGTTTCTACCTAAGGTGTCATCTAAAACGCGGTTTCTCAAACTTCTTTGGACCAGGAACACACCCAGTGTATATGTGTGCAAGAAAGATCTTTAGTACTAAAATGTTTTATATTGAAATGCTCTTGAAACATCATATATATCCGTCTTTCTTCACAACTTGAACAGTGCATTTGTCACTTTGAGGCAACAGAGGGGCATTTATTGTACAGTTCTATTTGTCCTAAACATATGTGGTTTTTACAACGAGGTATTAGGGCCATTGTAGTTAAAAATGGAGCCAGAGGAGGTGCGTTTAAAGTTGTAAATGTATGAGAAGAAAAACCTTGGAAATTCTCTGTGATTAAAGTGATAAATCTATTGATTAATGACTGAGATTTTTTTTCAGCCATTAATTATACAACACAAGAGTCAGTGCAGTGCATAAGAGAAGAGGTGGAGCTTTTAGACAGGCTGATATGAGGGTGTGCAACAAAGCCACTTAAAGCATGTGTCTCGTTTTAGTCATTTATAAATGTCTGCAGTTCTTCTTCAATATTGTATGCTTTTGGTCTTGGAACAGAAGGAAGTATCCTTTAATACTGGTTGGTGGAAGTAGTTTACATGTGACAGCTGTTATTAACATCTGCATAGATACACAGCCTTTATAAGCACATCTGAAAATTTTCAAGTTTTTTTCTCGTAATTTGCGACTTTAGTCTCAGTGCGTTTTTGAGTTTTTTTTAACTTTAATTCAGATTTTCTCTCAGAATATATATTCTACCCTACATAATTCTTTTCTTTTTCTCTATAATGGCCCTAATACGCCGTCATGGATTCCCCCCTCCGCAGATGGAAAAATCTTTTTGTTGTACTTCATACTTGGGGTACCTTGTAATCAGATGTTGCTCTAACTTGGCTCGCATATTGGTTTTGTTAGCAAGTTATGACAGATGGTGCATTTAGGTAATTGTCACTGTTTTCAATATACTAAACTCAATTTATCTGCAAGTATTACGTTCATAGTTAAGCTGGTAAGGAACTCAGCAACCCTCGAGAGTGTGGAGTAGGGAGTCTGCAGTTTTCAGAGCAAAGCAGGGAAACAGCTGTTGGGAGCATCATGTACAATACATCAGTGTACTTCAGAACTGTAGTTTTAATGTTTGGCTGTTTGTATTTTGTCTCCGTCTTGTACAAAAAAAATAAAAAGACAGATACAGTACGACCAGGCTTAATTTGGGGCTCACAGTACAGTTGCAAATACTGAGTGCTGGGACCACCTTTGTGATCAGGTAGGGAAAAGCATTACATGGTGGTAAAGAAAGTGTACTGTTTGCTCAGAACAAAACTAAAAATGTTGCTTGGCTAAATATGAACAATAATGTTTTGTATAGAGGGCTGTAAATAAGTACTCAAAACGTGAAAGAATTGTTTTTGGGTATCTTATAGGTGGATCACTTAGATTCTTCAAAACATGCTTAAAACTGATTTTTAAATAAAGCTCTACAAGTAAAGAGCATATGTGCACTTGTTTCCTTGTTTATTGTAATAACAAAGACAAACTTTTATATCCAAGCGATATATTGCAAATAAGACAACACCTCATAACTCATCTGAACTTCATCAAACCTTCCAACTTTTTCATTGTATTATATTGTGGTATCATTGTAATAAGGCAGTCCAATAAGACCGGAAGGACATTCCAACCGTTCTCTCGCTTGCACCTGCAGAGGAAGAGTGACAAGTACTGTCATTAAGGGCCAAAAGAAGAAAATGGAAAGAATATGTAAATGTAAGCAAATTCATACATGACATTAAGTTTCAAATAAGGCTCCTCAGAAACAATCATCCACCAGAGCAGCAACAGCAGACAACAGCACAAATAATCATTTCTAAAAGAGAATCTCTGAAAACAAGACTAATTGATGCTTAGTGGTACTTTGCGGTTAAGAGCCTGTTTTGAGTTCACTGGCGTTCTCCCTGAAGAAGAGAGTTTGGTAGAGGTCACATAAAGTTTTACTGCTAATTGGAGGAGACATGGATGGAATGGGCCTTAGTGTGAACTGCAGTGTGTTCAACACACACACACACACACACACACACACACACACACTAAGCAGTGGATTTTAAAATACAAAGTGGCAGTGAGTCTTACAAGAAATGGTAAAATACACATTATGTAAAACGATCATCTAAATGTCTGAACCATATTGGTTCAGCATTCTCCTACTTTTTAGCCAGTTGACTATTTTAGTCCAGACCATAATATCTGAACAACCTATGGATGGATTGCCGTGTAATTTTGTTCAGACATTCATGGTTCCCTGACAATGAATCCTAATTTAACCAATTTAACTTTGGTGATCCAGTCGAAAATGCACTGCAGAAGACAAAAGCAATGGAGAGTGTGGAGAACTGGAGAAGATTGCTGTAGATCCATTCTGACAGTAAAGAGTGTTGTGTTTGAGCCCTTCTCAACTTTCAAAATCAAACTATCATTTCAGTGACATGTGTACATTTCATTTGCAAGGTTAGAAAGACTATATTAACTCTCAATGTTTAGAAAAACCAAACTAATTCTAACAGAGTTTTTAGACATTAAATAAGTTATAATATTTCTTTAAATTGTACACAGAGTGGGGATGGTGCATAGATAAGATGCTTGCCTGTGGTGTGGGAGACCTGCGTTCGATTCCCACTGTGAGACGTCCACCATTGTCTCCCTGAGAAAGACACTTAACCCCTAGTTGTTCCAGAGGCGTGCAACCTTTCACATGTATACCAATTGTAAGTTGCTTTGGATAAAAGCGCCAGCTAAATGAATAAATGTAAATTTCACTGGGTGCCTGGTTACACATATCTTCTTCATGATTTGAAAAATATAAATACATTGCATGTAGCCTCTGATATTTTCCATTCCTTGATGATGATTTTAGGTTGTGGCCTTGACTCTACAGTGACCAAACATAAAAACAACATCTAAGTGCAGAAAGTGGATGACTATAATTAGCTTTGGAAAGGGCACTGCTGTAATCAGATACATTTTGTCATTGTGGCCAGCAGAGGTTTACTGTACAATCATTGTGTGTTTTATTCTTAGCCTCTTCCTTGACTTCTCATGCATATGAAAGCATTGGAGGTTCAGACAGTTCATACAACCCTGTCATAACAATAATTAAATTACTCACTACTCTTTCCCTAATAAGGTGCTCACAATGTAAATGTAGAGATGCTGTTAAAGCAATTATGGGCTTTTTTTTTGCCGCCATGTGCTCTTGTCATGGTTTGAAATCATGTAAGGAACAAAACAGCCAAGGGCCTTTGATTACCTGCAGGTTGAGGACCTACATTAACAAGATCATTCATCTCAAAATAGGCAAAGTGCTAGTCATGTATTGTGGGGTCTGTTTTTGTTACAGCAAAACAGGTTAAAATTACACTTACACATTAATACACAGTAGCACCGATTACAGGTGTAGGATTTATGTGTTACATCAATGAAAAAGGTATAATTTAAACAAGGATGAAATTAAGCACGGTCAGATAAAAACCAACACATTCAACTCCATAATCAAGAGCAATCATGATTAAAGTTGACTGTTCACATATAAACAAAACATTACTCTACAGCAGTGGTTCTCAAACTTCTTCTGTCGTGCCCCCTTTCAGAAGCCAAAAAAAGTTCATGCCCTCCCACCCCAACAAAAGCGGATTCAGTTTTTACCAATACAACAATACAGGTGATTGAAATAAACAAGATTCAGGGTAGTAAAATAGCATCGGAGCACTTTTTTTTTGTGTGTTGACATATAAATCATATTTATGCAACTTTAGGTCTGCTCTACATACTCAACGCCCCACCGGGAGGGGCCGCCCCCAGTTTAAGAACCACTGCTCTACACTGACCAAACCGAAAAAAGACTAAATATCAACAAATATGAACAGGCCATATTACTACAATATGCCTTAAAATGTTAAATGTTAAAACATTGTGTGACCTGTGTAACATGAACATGAAGTAATGGATACATGAAAACTTTGGAGCTGTAATACACTGGAAGGTTTATTTTTTCTTTTGTGTTTGACAGAGCTAGCTACTTCATTAGTTCATTCATTATTAGTCTTCATGCAAAGCTTACCTTAACATGCCACTGCATGTCTACATACTTGACACCGTTATGTGAAATATATGTTGATCCCCTATTATCTGACTCTGTGTGAGATGGCAAACAAGCATATTTTCCAAAACAACTGCTCCTTTAAAAATGTTAGACTAAAGTGTAACCCAGCTTGTTTTTTTGTTTTTTTAAATCAGTCACCTTAGAAAAACAAAAATATTCTACTTTTGGTTTGGGGTCAGCATTAGAATTGAACAGGTTTCCTGATCTTAAATAACACACTGCACGTGGATATAAAAGGCCTTTGACTGGCTTTTGACAAACACCTGCAATTACCGGTGGCAACACAATGAACAACAGCCAGGATGCTTACCTGCTTTTACTAGTCTGCGGTCAGCCAACAACTACTGTTTTCTTGTACCAGAAATATAAACTTGGTACTTAGTGTTTTAACTGACAACAGTGATTGGATCATTCTGTTTACTGATCATGTTGGTGTTATATAACTGTCAACACTGTCATCATACAGTGCTTTAGCTTAAAAGAGACCATCTGCTGTATTTGTGAATGGATGTCAACATACCCTAACAACTGTAAATGCTGTGAAAGGACAGTGTCGAGCCCCCCCTTGTGCGGTTTGTGTGTTTTCATGGGTTGTGCATACATTACTGCACACAAAGTAAACAGTATTTCCATTTCAAGGCCATAATACTTCTTTTGCCAAGTCAATATTGAAGGAACTTTTCTTTTTTCATGGAAGGCATTTTGACATGCCACAGCAGGAAAAAGCATGTTATGGGCTGGTATTTCTGAGTATCCATACAGAGACAATAACAACTTCTGGCTGGCAGTCTTTGTGACAATGTGTTGGGCAGGCAGGTGACGTGTGAAGGGCAGGCGGTAGAGATGCAGGTTAAACGTTGAACAAGGCAGACCGACTGAGTTCTCTCTTTGGGATCAAAAACCTTAGGCACAAGCAAAACCAGGCAACAAGAGCTACTTCATAGGATGTGATTCAGAAGTTGGCCATAGTGTGAGTACCACTCATGTGAAGAGACAGTCAGGCGAGGAATGGAGTGAAGAGCTGGGGTTTAAATACTACAAGGCATTGATTGCTGGATGATTGTAGGATGAGCCAGTCTGTGATTGGTCAGCCAGGGAGGAGAGATTAACGCGCCACACCCAGACAACACACACCCATACAGAGAAGCCAGACAGATGACAGACAAAAAACACAATGGAGAAACACTAGGGGCTGAGAGGGTGGCACTGCAGATCATGACAAATAATGGGCTGAATTCCATATAGCTGCTTTGCTTTCAGGGGCTATATAGCGTATGCTTGCTCAGTGTCATGCTGTCATGGCTTACTACATTATAGAAAGGAGCCATCATTAATGCTATTAATAACACCTGTGCTGTTCCTACTATAATAAAATGTCTGCTGGGAAAAAGGCCTGTTGCAACCAATGGTAAATAAAGCTATTAATAAATAGTATTCAGTATACTTATAAATTGATTTCGAAATTATTTTGAATTTAGAATACCATAGCTCACCTTGAACCTGTTTATGTCTACCTGTACATTGCACACATACTTTACTGACCCTGTTTTTTCCAATATGGAAGTTATGTTGGAAACTATAGCCATAGCCACAATGGGAGTCAGTAAGAGACTGCTGTTTGTTGATCAGGTTTGTCCATTATATGTCCTTAAAGTGAGACTGTATAATTTTTGCTGAACAGCGGCCGCTGTAGCCTCAAGTTGCAGGTTCTGGTGAAGTATCAGTCTAATGTTTGCTAACATTAGCTAACATTAGCTTAACAGCACTATGCTTCTGGTGATACCTGAGTGTATTGAAATAAATAAGGGTGAGTTTCATTGCTTATGCATTCAACTTTTAATTTGTAAGTGCAAGATTGAGTTATTTCTCCTTTCAAAAGTTGCATAGTCTTACTTTAAGAGTCATGCGGAGCTATACGTGAATGAAGCTTTATACATCTTGAGATGAAGAGAATATATTGCAGTATGATGTTGACATCACACACACATACAAAAAAAAATAAATGCAAGTTTCAGTACCTTTCATGGAGCAGTGGCAGTATATAGCATACAAAAGTAAAGTACCTAATCTGGTCATCTTTTGACAACAATGTGGCACAAAAGCACATTTTCTGTAAGTTCATGTTCTCTTTTTCTGGGTTATTTTTTGTACATATTATGGAAGACCTACATTGTGGTAACATTAGTGTAGGGGAAGTGTCTCCTATTTTTTTTAATGCAGAGCTCTTGAGATGCAGCAAAGGTCTGGCGGCTCTCAAGCCCAAGTAGGTCACTGAGAGAAAATAGCATCCTTGTTGTCAGCCCCACTCACCTGTTGGTTCTTCTGCCACTTTTTTCCACTGCCAATTTTTCTTAAAAAAGTAGGCTGAGAGGAGGTCAGGCCAACCTTGAGCCATTTAACGGTTTTAGCTAATTTAAAATGCAGCAACCCCTGTCTTGACTGGGACCAAAAATGTGATCATGTCGCCCATATCATCCAGCATTATTCTAACATCCATGAAGAATTTGAATTGCTTCAGTGTCAAGACACTTTGCTCCACACCTATGAGGTTAACCGGTCACTAAAGAGTTCAACAAGAGATTATGCTTTCCCTGAAAATGCTGGACTCTCCTAACTACGATATTAGGAAACAATTTTCCTTCGGCACCTCCGTCATGCTGATATTTACTTAACAGCCCCACCTATAAATCAACAAACTCGCATTCAACAAATCAAAAGTCCAAGCAGCAGGGGGAGAAAGAGAGCAAAAAGTGAGCAGGTTCTAATATACAGATGCAGTGCACTCACTGGCCACTGCACAGGAGCAAAGCAAGTGACTATTTACTGGTATGCTGGTGCTCTCTGCTGGACAGAAACGATAACTACAACAAAGAGGGGAGTAAGGATTCATTCAGTGTAAAAGTCAGAACAAAAGATAGACATTGAGTGCAGAACATAAACACTTGTATATGATTTGCACTAAATCACACCAACACCAGTTACTAATTTTCAAGCACATCTGGGATGAAATAAGCATACAAAGCAACTCTGTATATCTGATGAAAACTATTCCATCCATATAACTAGAGGAAAGTATATTGAATATGTATGGTTATTTTTTAATTTTATATAAAATTGTGCTACTTGGATACTAGAAACCATCTCTCAACAGTCTGAGACACCACTTTAGGAGATGGAACAAATACTCACATCTAACTCTAATGACCACAACAACTATCGTTCAACAGTTGGAGCACCAACAAAATAGCGGTATCCATCACCTTCACAATGACCCCACAGAGGTTAAATACCAGGGACTCCCTGCCAGTCTGAAGAACAGAACTGAAGAAGCTTCTTGGATCAGAGGTGAAATGTCCTCAAGTATATTCAGTCAGGTCTAGTTCATTTAATCCTCCTTGGATAACTGTGACCTGGATGACTGAATCTTCACAGACAGGCTTTATGTTTAGAGATGTTATTAACGTTATCCCAAGTTGCTAGTGCAGCAAACTTTCCTCTAGGAAATTTTGCTGCATTCATTTGACCCCCTATACCCTCATATTCCCTCCAGGGCCTGCTGCAGAGAAGCATCAGCAAGAACTTCATGGTTCCGTTTTTGCCAAGAAAATTACTTTAAATTGACTTTCCAGATACAGGTGTGTTTAACCTGAAAAGACTTGTTACACCTTCAATTTATTATGTCACCTCTAAAAACAACTAGTGCAAAAGATTTAGTTGTGTCATAATAAACCTTTTTATAACACAACTTTTTTTTACTGTTATTGTATATATAATCTGCATTGTGAGGATTTGTTTTCACCTTGATATTCAAGTCTTTTTTTCCTGTCATGAATGTCAAAACCTTCCAAAATGATAGATAGATAGATAGATAGATAGATAGATAGATAGATAGATAGATTAAATTATGTTGAATTCATGTATTACACATATGTAGATGTATTTCTATTTTGCAGTTTGCAGATTTAAGTGCCAATTATCGTGGCTCTAACTTATTGTGGACTTCGCTAACTTTCTAATAAATACACACCATAATTACTAACTCACTAATTAACTAATTACAAATTAATTACTTGATTAACTGGATAAATGAATGATTGATTAAAACATTAATTTAGAGACTCATTAATCTATTAATTCTTCAAATGAATGAACATCGCTTATGAGAGGTTTGCACACACTTCCTTTAGATCACTGAATGATGAAACTAATTCAGTGGAGAATAAAAGGCTTGAGAAAGCACAAAATAGCTTTAATGTCTTTATGTTTATTTATTTCTGCTCATGGAAACTATTGATATATTGCATCTGAGATGTTGTTATAGTAACTAATATATTATTTTATTATTATAATTGTTGTTGTCTGCATGTTTATTTATATTATTGTCAAGTCTAAATAATTCAACCCACATTTACAGCCTATACCTGCACAATAAATGTATTAGAATAGTTAATTATATTGTATTATTATTTGACAAGCCGAAGCTGGTTCTTTAAACATTCTGGCACAAAAACTTTTTTCTATAAATAAAAACTAAACTATTTCAAAAGAAAAAAAGGTTGTTAATTCTCAGAGTAGAGGTTTGAAATCAAAATTTGTTGGCCAACAAAACCTTGCTCTTGGTAAGTCATAGACTGTATATAAAAAGTATGAGTATGAAAAAAAACAGCAGTAAACAGCAAGAACATCAGTGGTTTTAGGGAATTAGTTGACACTTATGTTTTGGCAAAACCCTGGCAAGAATGTCAGTTGTGGTTTAACTGTGCACACATTTTTAAGAAGAATTAGAGACTTTTCTTGAACAAATAAGCTTGATCAGAAGCTGTTATCTGAATAAAAAAGTTCCATGTCTGAATAGTGTAGAGCTGCAGCAAGAGTCTTTTATTATTATATCTTCAGTTCACATGAGAATTTTTTCCTCCCCGTAATTTCAGTCTCTATTTTCCCCGAGTAACTTCATAGTCGGCCAACGCCTTTTCTGTGCTCTTCCCAGACTTTTTTCCTTTTTCTTTCTTTTTTTCATGTAGGCTAATATACAGGCCGGCGCTGCAATTTCGGAATCTGCCCTTGTATATGGCGGACGAAATTTCCACAGGAGGAACCGCAACACAAACCGTCTGTGCAAGGCAGAAACGGAGAGCCTGCACGGACTAAGTGAACCTCGGCAAATTCATGAATCATTACGCCATTACTCTTTACTAAAATGTAACGTAGCGTGTCGCGGATGGGGGAAAAACCCGCTGTGGTGAATTTTTTTTTTTAAACATTTGGAATTTCTCATAACTAATTCACAATTTTTTTCGGGGGGGTGGGGGGGGGAGAAGCAGTTGTGCAGTCACCTCTGGTCGTAGCGGAAAGATTTCTGGAGCGGGAGCCTGTTTCGCATGAGCTGCATCGTTTTTGGAGGTATGTCAGACCACTGTTTTCTTTTTTTCTGATTTAGAAATCCTAAATTTGAGAAATTTCAGTAGCGGATGTTAAGTTTCAATCCCCTCTGCTTAACAAACGAGACCTGGCAGTCTTCTTACACTGCCACTAAACCAGGTGCAGGCTTTGAAGCCATCCGAAATAGACCTAATCTGTTGATGTTTTTTTGGACTGAATTTTCGTAATGAAGTTTCCGTGTAACTGCTGACTAGTCGTGTGTGCACCTAGTTTGTTCTCATATACACTGCCTAGGTGGGAACACAGTGTTTATTCCGATAGAGCAGCAAGGGGACCAGGCGATAGTGGCAACATGAAGGACGACGAGGGGAGGAACAATCTGAAACACAAAAACCTCCTGCAGCCATGTTTTGTGAATTTTCCAGCAAATTTGAGCAGGGCTCCGGAGTTGCTTCCTCTGAAACTCTCACAACACTAACGTCACTTTTGGTTGTATTTGACGGCTTGGTATTCATTGTAGATGGACAAGGCAAGCAAAAAAACAACGTGTCCTCATGTCAAAATACATGTCGAATTGTATATTTAGAAAGATAGAGGTTTTTAAATCTGGGTGTTATTGGCGCCACCTGTAGGCAGTCATTTTGAGAAATTAAAAAAATTGTAATGAGACTAGTTTTGAGACTTATTTTTGTTTAAATTGAATGTTATTTTGTGCTAATGTGGACACCGGGGACACGTGTTCAGATGCTTTTGGAATGAATAGACACCATCCGGAAATTATTGTCACAAATGAAAATGGAAAAGTATCTTGTGCCTTTCATGCTAATTAATGCAAAGTGACCTTTCACTGTGCAAGTTAATTGTGTTCCTCCTTTTGGTTTTAATAATGATGAATATTCTGGACTTTAATTATTTTGCTAAAGGTTTAAGCAGTTATTAAAAAAACTGCATGTCACTTGAGAAGTCTTTTTAAAGTGCCTGGGAGATGAAGATAAAAAAAAAGACAAATCTGCTAAATCCATGCTCTATGCTTTTTTTAGTCCAGCATACACATTAACTGTAATTTTCCTGTTTTTCCTTGCTTGTTTGTGTATGACCGTGTACTTGCGTGTTATGACAGATATACAGACATGGAACAATTTGGACTTTTATTTCTAGAGATTGGAAATACGTAAGCGGAAAATAACTATCCAGAGTGAAAATGAACAGCACTGGAAGAAGAAAGAGCATGTCAGCATAATTTGAGGGCAGGAAAAACAATCACAACCAGTGCCTCCACTGTTTATATTAATCCTGCAGACGCCAAACAGTTTCCCATCTTGCATGGCTTGCTTTTATTTTAATGTAAGGGAAACTGCGGAGGCCATTTTGCTGTGGGTAATTTTAATGCTGACCTTCAAATCTGTATAAATTCAAAGAGCTGGTGGAAATTGTTTGGTTGGTATGCAAAATCTGGGTGTAAATTCTGACCTTTGCTTGGAAAGTCTAATCAAAATGCAGGAGTTTCAGTTAAAGGACGGAACCGAAGAGAGGCAACCAGTGTCATGAGTTTAATAGGATTGGATCACCCTGTGAGTGATGGGAATGTTTATATGTAGAATACCTCAAGGATCAAGTAATAAGTTATAAAGCTCTCAGGAATAATGCTGCAGTGTTGAAATGAAAAACACCTTAAACCCTGATATGGTTAATGGGAACTGTATTTCGGGAGTGTTCTCATTTTAAGTGAGGTAACAGGAATGCTGGTCTGTCTGTACTTTAATGAACAAAAGCTTTGTTTCACTGAGGATATTCAGAAGGAATAGTTTGGATGGTGAGGTGAAACTTGTCCCTCCAGGCACTGATAAACCCAAGATGGTGAGGGATCATTTCACAGCCTGTGGGTTAGAGTGTTTTAAACATACTTGCTGCTCTAATTGTCATTAACTTAGTACAGAGGTTTTGTTTTCCATTTAAAGGGTAAACAGTTTCTGTCTTTGATGGCATGCCAGTTCTTTTCCATTAATGCACAATTACAGATTCATGATTTCTGCTTAGATGTGTCAAACATACATCCTTTTTTAAACCTAGCAAACATCTTATGTTCCGCCATTGTCTAAGTGGCATGTTGAAAATGTTGGAAAATGGCTTCACTTAAATTAGTCCCTGGAGAATTGGCTTTTGAGGGGATGGGGCTGCTGCATTAAAAAAAATTCTGTGCATTCTGTGCATATTTTCCCTGCGTCTTCCTTTTTAAAA